TCCAAATGTTCATCCGAGGACTGGTGAAATCTGTGTTGATACTCTAAAGAAGGAATGGAACCCTGTGTTAGGTTTAAGACACATATTATTGGTAATAAGGGAGTTTGCGTTTAATCGTTTAAGAGCATTCGTTGCCTCCTTATAGTACCCAATCCGGAGTCTGCCCTTAATGAAGAGGCAGGCCGTTTACTTCTAGAGGATTATGACGAATACACCCGCCAAGCGAGAATCTTCACGTCTGTGCACGCACTAGCACCTGCTGCGACACAGAAACTTCCTCCGGGTTCTTGTCCTCAAGAGTCAACGATGTGAGTCGTTATATTCCTTCCTAGCTACTTATTCCACAATCCTCTTATTTTAATTTTAAACTGACTCTGCGCATTACCATTCGTCCGGCAAGGTATTTTCCGTGACAAAGATGCGCAAGATCAAATCACGTCATTATTAATTTGTAATAGTGTCACTACGCAAACGGAACCATAATTGATTTCTCCCTCCAGGAAATACTGCATTGGTCGGGATCTTAGTTGCTCCTTTGACTTGGACTCTAGTTAATTTTTCTAAATGTGTCAGTCACTAATGACCTGTCCATCTGCTAGATTCTGATTTCGAATGCGTCTCCCTTTCCGAAAATGTCTTTTTAGTTGGTTCCCATCTATTAAAATAGATTGCTCTCCCGATTCTTCGAATTAGCGTTTGTCTTTTTTAGACTTCGCGACTCAAACGGACCTCCCGAGAAATCTACCTCACTGAAAAAGAAGAAAGCTTTGTCTGTCACCAAAAAAACAATGAAGCGTCTCTGATTGCTGGACTTTTTCTGCAACTGTCATTTTGCATTTCGTGCCATGCGACACGTGGCTGTAACATGTGCTCTTCCTTTTTTATGATTGAATGAACCTCGAGTCCTTAAAACTGCACATTCAAAATGTATGATATGAAAAATAAATCTTCTATATATACCGACCTGTGATCATGTTAAGCTCCGTTTCTTATGATACCGCTTCTAGAAGTTTCCGTTTGTAACTGTACTCTTTCCATTTTTGAAGTAAGTTCGGTAAACGCTGTGAATGCTCACATTTGGGATTTCAAAAACAAATCATAGTAAGCGATTCCACCTGATGTCAACTCACAGCCCATAACTTAGGTGATTTACCCAGCAATTTTCAGTGATATTCGCAGGTGTTTGTTTTGCATGTCCATAGATTTGGCTTAATCGGGTTTACCATAGTCGGAAATAGAAAACAGTAACCCATTAATTTCAATCAAAGCTAGATTGTTGTCCTTAGTTATTACACGTTGCATATTCTTCGATTGATCACCATGGCAGTAACACCAGTTTAGAGGGATTACCTCGCAGATCAGTTTATCCGCTGACCAATTGGCGTGGTTTCTAATTGCGTCCTCAATGAAAGGAGTCACTGATTGACCGAATTTCCATGTTAGAGGAATAGTTGGTCGACCGAAGTCACAGTGAACAGTGTGCATAAGTTAACAGGGATGCCATAAAGTGCGTCTGATTGCTGCATCGAGACATTATCCCGCTGAACATCAGGAAATGCTATGCACCTGTTTTTGAAATCTCAGTTTATTACTGGAAATTCCTGTGAGATAAAAATTCGTAGTAGAAACTAATCAACAGGAGGAGTGAGGATGCTCCTGGGGATGCACAGCTGCTAGGTGCTTTGCTTTTCACATTCCTCACAATCTGACTAAACTATCTTTTTCCGGAAGCTATTTATTCGTAAGCAGCCTGCGCACTCAATTGTAATGGTATTCGTCATGAATGATCCAGCCGACGGACCTTTGCAGGTAGGTCGCATCACAGATAATCGCCCTCACCTGCATTTTTTTGGGCTAAATCTCGGGCAAAATTGGACTACTTTGCAAAATGTCCCCTTAGAGCAGCAGTGCTCTCGAAATCGGCTTTTCGAACGCTGATGTAGATCTTAAGTTGGCCACTCCGATACCGTTTTAGTCCAGGGCCGGGTTTGGGCGGATTTGCCTACAGGGAAACACAGTGTTTGACCGAGCTATATAGGGCGATGTTGCCCGGTTCTGTTGTTGACTGAGTGCTGGAGACGCGATTGAAAGGGAAAACCCTCAGTACAAAACGCGAACACCGCTGGCCGAATACATCCAGGTGATGATGGACTCCTGAGCACGCGGCCAATGTCTCAAACCTCGAACACACAGACCTACCTTACATCTATTCGAGAGACTGATAAAGAAGAGGAAGACGCGATCTCTGGAACAATAGTTGTATTCTGAGCTTTCGGCTACGAGAAGCCATCGTCAGGAAACAGCAAACGTCAGCTACGCATAAATGGGATTGGTAAGCATACAGACCATCACCTCAAGGTCACACGCCGCTACCCCAGGGGCGCGCGTCGGTAACACGATAAGATAGCGTGACAATGGACGTAGCATGGACAGAGACAAATCAATAATTGTCACTACCTCCCCCC